CCCCCCCCCCCCTTGATAAAATCCTGTATACGCCCATTACTTCCGCCCTCTCCCCAGTTGGCCGATTGCCATCACTAGGCCTGTATCACTTCCCCTGACTTTATATTATTCACACAAAATTATTTAGGCTATTCGAAATTATTAATTTCAAAAGAAATTTTTTTGTCTTAAACCAAAATTTCCGAAAATCTTAATTCGTGTCCATAATTCAACCAAACCAAAAAGTGGGAAGGCTGTGTTGAGTTGATTTTAATTAGAACAGTTTCAAGGCATTGAATAAAAAAATTAACAATTGAAAGTCGTTTTCCTATATCATGTTCATTTAGGCAAATACAGGTTATATTTGTTGGCAGGGTAATTCGATCCTCCTTCTCTTCACTGACTAGCAAATAAATAAACTTCAATGGGGGGGGGGGGGAGTGTAAGTTTCTTATGCCAATATTGAGAACATTGACATATCATGCTGAAACTTTTTTGTTTTAGCAAAAAATCTGCCAAATAACAAAAAAAAAAATTATTCGACAGATAACAAAAAAAATGGGGAAAAAATATTTTATTTCATAATTTGAAAAAATAAAACCTTTTTTACATTCCAATTAAATAAAAAAGCTCTTTTTTACATTCGAATTTTAGTGCGGCTTAAGGTTATGGGAGGAAAAAAAGTTGAATCAAAAGACTTGAGGTTTTTCATTCATAATAGTAATAAGTCACCTACTTCTGATAACCAAAGATCTCATAATAATTGAGATAAAACATTTTTTAATAAGATTTATTTTTTTACCTTCTAATATCCAATTGCGAAAAAAGATAACCAAAAAACGTAAATTCAGGAAATTTAACGACAAAATATTAGTTTATTGTTGATGCTTTCCTTGATGAATAAAAATATTTTTAAAATGGCGAAGTAAATCTTCACGAATATCAAGCCATTTACTGCTAGCATTTTCTTCATGGTCACTTCCTGAAACATTTTTTGTTTTGATTCTAACTCCTAAATATAAATTATTATTATTATTATTAACAATCAACCTACAGACAAAGTACAACGACCTATAGGTTGAAATACAATGAAAACAAGGTTGAGCTCCTCCATATGCCCTGGTCTATATGGGAGATATGGGACCTAGTGGTTCAGATCTGGCACAAATATAAATAAAGGTACTTTTGCAGTCGACCAAAGAAAATATTTTCATCATCGGCCTGTATACGGGTGTATACTATATCCTAGTTCTAATTTGAATTAAGAAACTAGCAAGTTATGGATCAAACGAATCAAGCAGGAAAAATTATTAAAAAACATTTGGTTTTAGAAGCACATTCAATAAAGTACCTAAAATGATCATACTTAACATACTTTATTACAAATGTGCATTGGGGAGGTGACTTCTGTCACTGGCCTAGACCTCGATGTCTCGATCACACTAAACTTGTGTCATAATCGGATATACATTTCCGCCCTTTGGTGGTTATTTTTGATGGGGTCTCAGCCTTGATTTCCACGGAATGGTGGTTGATCTTTTATTTATTTTATTTATTTATTTATTTATGGCAAAAAGTAAATTGAAAATATGTAAATAGTTTTTTAATGTTACAGGACTCCTCAGTAACATGACTGAAGCAAAATTTAATAACAAACAAGAAAGAATATAGATACAGGGCTCCAAAGAATAGTTCTGCCTCTGCAATTTGGCTAGCCGCAGAAAACATCCAAAAAATTCATCTATTTTTATTTTCAAAATTAGCCAAAGTATGATTGAAGGATGGACAATGAATGGACGATCAAGAAGAAAGAATGAAAAATAAGAAATATAGAAGTCTCTATACACTGTTTAAATTTCCCGGAGAGTAATACGTGTTATGCCCCCCCCCCCTTATTTAAGTTAAAAATGTTACAGGACTCCAAACATGAAATCTCCAGACTACCACGTACAAACATGGACCAGTAAATAACTAGTACCCCTACCTCAAAAAAAATATTGGGCTTTCTTTAAAAAACAATTTCAAGTAATAATGCATTTTCGTAAAAAAAAACTTAAGTATCCTTTAATCCGTGACTTGAGGCAGTTTATTTCCCTTTTCAACGGTTTAACCTTTACGAATACTTCTTTTACAGATCATAACTTAAACGGAGTGTTTGCGAAAAATGAAAGGGGGTGTAGACTTACGGCGAAATATAATCGCTTTTGATCGCTACAAATCTTACTTTTATCTATTTCGTCTATAAGGAGAAAATTGTTAAACACGACACATGCTGAGTAACGTAGCGTCCATGTAAATTTAGAAAGTTGCAATATTCAACTCGGGTCGTAAATAAATCAATTTAATTCAAAAAAAATCATTCAGATATTACAACCAATAGTCATTGATTATTTTTCGACGCATTCGTATATAGTAAATATTTCATAATATTTTCGATTAAAAAAAAATATATTTCGCTGGCGCTGGTTTTTCGAACATTCCCGGAAAATATGAAAATGTCATCTTCATTATCAAAAATCCTCGAAACAGGGATAAATGTTTTCAAAAGTAACTGTCAGATCATAAAAAATAGAAAGTATTCTGAAATATCAACTATATAGGAATGCGTTGAAAAATAATCGATGATTATTGGTTGTAATATCTGAATGATTTGTTTGGAATTAAATAGATTATTTTACGATCCGAGTCGGATGTCACAACTTTTTGAATTTGTATAAGTATAAGTATAAGTTGTTTTTAACAATTTTCTTTTCAAAGATGCAACAGATAGAAGTAAGATTAGTAGTATATTAAAAGCGCTTTTTTTTAGCAGTAAGCCTATATAATACCCCCTTTCATTTTTCGCGAACACTCCCTTTAATTGAATAATTTTCCTACGTGGATTTACAGTATATCAACGGGAAAGAAATAAAAATACTTAATTTAAAAAGTTTACACCATGGATATCGGAACTTATCAATATTCCTACTAAAAGTTTTGGATTCACTCCTAGTATAAGATTTTTGGACCCCCGCCCCCCCCCCCCCTCATATCCATTTTATACATGAACAAGATGAAAACAAATTTAAACAAACAAATTTTAATTTTTATTTCAGAATTATGTTAGTACAATTTCTGGGCCAAGCGCACTAGTCGACAGATAAGGTCCACTTCAACTATTTTCATCAAATTAGAAATTAAAGGGACTGTAAAAGAAAAATGAAAGGAGGTATAGGCTGAAAGCTAATCACTTTAGCTCTCGATCGCGACCCATGAAAGTTATATCTGATGTTCCTATCTCGAGAAATTGATATACAACTTTGTCAAATTTATACGAAAATCAATATATATACAATTTTGTATAAAAGTAGTGGGTTTAGATAGATCAAATTCAGCAAGTAAGCAACCAATCTGAAAACGATGATATCCCAGATAAAGCTAATTGTAACTTACGTTTACTCCAATTTCAATTTATATTTGTTATTTCTATTTTTAATAGATTTAATTCATAATATTATTTATAAGTCCGTATTGCTTAACCAGAAATTCCACCAATGGCAGTGCAGTAAAGTGGTCACGTGATACAGGCGGAGACACGTGACCAATATACTGCCGTGCCATTGGTGATGGTTCTGGTCACGTGATTTAAGTTTCAGATTTTCAAAATTTTACATATATGAACTTTCGCATAATTTTAAAACAGTTTTATACCAATTTCTCGAGACAGGAACATCAGATAAAACTTTCATGGGTCGCGATTAAGAGCTAAAGGAGTTAGCTTTCAGCCTATACCCCCTTTCATTTTTCCTTTACAGTCCCTTTAATGTATTATTTCAGGATTAGGTTGGTATAATTTCTGGGCCAAGCGCCGCACCTAAGACAGGTTATGGGGGCCGAGCGCCGCGGCTAAAATAGGCCGAGGGGCTGGGCGCTGCGGCCCCATGGCTCCAAATATGCGCTAAAATACTGTGTACAAAAAAATAGGGGGGTGGGGGCGGTCCAAAAATCATCTGGAATTTAAACGTAAATCGAAAGTATTCTACTTACCGAGATGGTCTGATAAATGCTCTAGAGATGATAAAATAGATCCGCAGCCACAGAAATAACAAGATTTATGATATAATAATCCTTCAGCATTTCTCTTTATCATCTCATCCAGGTCGGTCAAATCTACCATTTTCTAAATATATGAATAAGTAAATCAATCAGAGGTAGGAAATTGGTAATTTCCTAGTGTACGATTTTTAAAACCACCCCCCCCCCCCTCCTATCAATTTTGTACATGACCACTAATTTACAGCAAACTTATTATTATTTAATTTATTGTTTTAGGGTTAAGCTAATGAGGCTAGGTTAAGACAATATCTCGGCCTGTAGGAAATACCTACTCCATAACAATTTTACTCGAGACGTATCTTTCCGGGTCTTACTCGTTACCAACCTCAAACAGGACTAACTCTCCGATTCTAAATGCCAAACAGGCAATATCTCAACCAGGCTTGACTCTCCGGTTCTAAAGGACACACAGACAATTGAAATTATTACACAACCAATTTCTCAACCAGGCTTAACTCCATGGTTCTAAAGGACACACAGTATAAAGCTCTGATTCTATATTCAACCAGGACCAGCTCTAAATGTCACACAGGGACACAAGCATCCAATAATATAGGACTCAAGCTTAGACTCTTTACTTAACCAGGATCAGCTCTAAATGCCACAAGGACACAAGCATCCAATAGTATACGACAAAAGCCGTATCTCAACTCGTATATTTCAACGAGGAACCAAGCTATCTTTTAAGCTTTGTTCGATTCAATGCTAAATCAAATAGCTAAGATCTCAGGTCGTATGTTTCAACGAGAACCAAAGCTGTCTTCCAAGCTTACTTAAGCTTCTGATAACGTAATCAAAAGCAGAGTCACAATCAATTAACTTTATTCAAGAGCTTAGGTTACACGAGTTACACAGTTAATTATCGTTTTTAGCTTTAGGAAATTACCTAATTTTATTTATTTATGTTTTATTTTATAAATACATAAATAAGAGTCTCCAAAAAGCGTTTGATAGGAGAGACCCAAGTTAAAGATAAGTCATTTTGAGAACGTAATCCTGACAATTTAGCTTCATTCAATCCATTGAATTGAATTAAGTAATATAAGGCTGAGAGAAGTCAAAAACCACTTCTTATTTATAAAATAAAAAAATATCATGCCGCGTTCGCATAGTTTTAGATAGATAGATAGAGAGGATGGGGGGAACATCTCTTTTCTTAACATTCTTTAGATATTAACATCAACAAAACTTTACTTTTTTGATCTTTATTCGAAAACCAATATTTTCTGTATGATTGTTGAATTCAATGAATTAATATATATAAAACTTCAAACGTGAAACGATGCCATCAAAATTGCTCATTGACCCAAATTGTCTGTTCTAATTTTATGCAAAGACGACTCATCAAAAAGGGTATGTCGTTTTGGGCCCTGAAACTTCTGTATTCACGCACGTTACTAATTTTTCAAATTTATTCAATTTCGTTAAATTAAAAAAATTTACTTTTAAAACAATATTACTTCTTTAAAAAAAAAACTAAAATAAGTTCCCGGGTCCTAAATAGAGTACTAAGTTTCTGTTGGCAGTCTAGTTCGCAGGAAACATCTTGAGAGGTAGGGCGCACGAAAATCAGATGTAACGTTAAATAATCTCTCAAAAATATTTTTTTTTTTGGAAATACTGGTGCATGGATCGAATTTCAATTGTTTCAGTTGCCCAAAAGTAAGTGAACTGTGAATTTTGAATAGTTAAACAGCTGTGTACCTTCATTTCAATCTATCCCTACGTATATGGCCCGTTATATCAGATCAAATTTGACATATTTTCTTTGTTAACTCTCTATTTTGGATTACTTTGTTGCTCGTTGGTGATTTTTACACATGTAAGCAGTGAATTTAAAAGTTATAGTACATTTTACTCAAAAAGCATTTAATAATTTTCTTTTTCTTTTGCCGTAGAGATCTTTTGCTCTTCGTAAAACCGTGCGGTAATTTCCTAGATAACGGTTTTTTTTGACCCCCTCTTATCAAGTTTGTACAAGCATCTCATATTTAACACAAGGTTTTAGTTAGTTATGTTATGGATATATAATAGAATGGATATATCTTAGTCAAGGTTTGATGTAATTATTTCGCTGGGGTGTTATGGGTGCTATGGAAACGACTCAACACGGAATCGGACCCAAAAAACGGAAACCTCCTCAAAATGAATTTTTTGAGACTTTTCCTGTTTTTTCAAAAATAATCGGTAATTCCTCAAATCCAGTTTTTAGAGGAATTCCCTCTTTTTTTATCCGTTTCCCCTTTTTTTAGGTCTGATTCCGGTTTATCAGGGTCTTATATCTTTGAGGGATTTCCCAATATTTTTGATCCGTTTCCTCATTTTTTTGGTCCGTTTCCGGTTTTCAGAAAAAGTTGTAAATTCTCAGTTTTTTGGTTCCTTTCCCTCTTTTTTTGGGTCCGTTTCCTCTTTTCTTGGGTCCGTTTCCGGTTTTCAGAAAAAGTTGTAAATTCTCAGTTTTTTTTTGAAAACTGGAAAATTACCCAAAAATGAGGAAACAGACCCAAAAAAGAGGAAACATACCCAAAAAATGAGGAAACGGATCAACAAACTGAGAATTTGAAACTTTTTTTGAAAACCGGAAACGGACCCAAAAAAAGAGGAAACCAATCAACAAACTGAGAATTTACAACTTTTTCTGAAAATCGGAAACAGACCCAAAAAAAGAGGAAACAGAAACAAAATAGAGGAAACCGATCAACAAACTGAGAATTTACAACTTTTTCTGAAAATCGGAAACGGACCCCCTCCCCAAAAAAAAGGAAACGGACCCAAAAAAAGGGGAAACCGATTAACAAACGAGAGTTTAAAACTTTTTCTGAAAACCGGATACTGACCCAAGAAAAAAAATATTTAAGAAAAAGTTTAAATTTTTCAAGGTTAAAATTTTGTTGCGTAATTTCAGAAACGTTTCAAGGGATTTCGTGCAAATTTCAATATTTCGTTTTATTTCTTCAGGATTTCTTCAGATGCCTCTCTTTGGAACCATGGGTCGCGATTAAGAGCTAAAGGAGTTAGCTTTCAGCCTATACCCCCTTTCATTTTTCATTTACAGTCCCTTTAATTAGAGATAATAAATTATCTTTAAGTGAAAATAAATTTTTTTTTGTAAAATATCAACCCCCCCCCCCCCCAATAACTGAGGGTGGGTGAGGGATTCACAATGTTACCCTTCAAACTTTAGTAATATGTAGAAGATCGTTTATCTGGTTTGAATAGTGCATAATTCTGATGATATATAATTTTATTTGTAGCAGGTCACTCTTGTAGAAAAACCACAAATGAAAATAAACAGTTTTTAAAAGTAAAAACGTTGATAATTTGATCAGAAAAAGGTTTAAAAATCGCGAAGAACCGGAAATACCAGAGGGTCACTTGAAATTACGTCTGCAGTCCCTTTAAACATTTTATTCAATTTTGAGAGAATTTTTACTTAAAATTTCATGATTTTGGGTATAAAAGTTTCTTATTTGTTCCGAGGCAAATAAGTAACATTTTATACCGGCAAAGCAGGTTTCCCTTTCTATTTCGCGGATTTCAATACAAAAAAAATCGCACATTTTTATGAAACTTGAATTGAATTAATTCAAATATCCAACTGTCTTGTGTTATCATTTGGGAAGTAATGTTTTTTCTTAATTTTTTGTTTGTTTTCAGTTTAAATTCAAGATTTTTTATCACTTTCTACGTTCGTGATTAAAAATCTTGAATTTAACCCTTAACCAAACAAAAAAGTAAAAATCCCAGTTAAAAAACAAATTGTTCCGCATGATAACACAAACAGTTGCATAAATAGATATACATTATCGACAGAATTAAACCCCAAAAAAATTACATTTTTCAACAAAAAACGCAAAAATTTGTATTTTGGTCGCTTTTAAATTTTCTGACCCCCTCCCCCAAACCAACTTGCAATGTTTTTAAGTGAATATTATTGATCCTAGGACGTCTGAGATCCAGGCCTGACAGTTGGCATTTGGCCAACCTCCTCCTACAACACGCAATACAGGAAAACAAATTATAAGTTTTTTAGAATATTTTTTTAATTTTCCACATTTAATTTGATATTTTTTTCTAACTGTTTGTTCCTTTTATTTGCTACTCACTGATAAAGAAAGACGGTATTTGAGTAATGTTACATGTACGCATTATTATTGACCCATGTCCTATACTGTCGGGTGATACGTTTTCAGGGTTAATGACCCGGAAATTATAGACGTAGAAGATTTTTTTTCTCAGTGGTGTTTATTTTCTTGGAAAATTATTCTCCCCGGCCTCTCAATTGAGATAATTTTTTTTTAGAATTAACATATTATGTTTTTGCGAAGCGGGGTTGGGATTTTTAATTTTTTATCTATATTCCGGTTTTTTTCATGTATACAGCTGGTGTTTAAATAATGAGGTAAACTGAATACATATTAATTCAACGTCACATTTAATATGCATAACAAGAAAATGATGAACTAGTTTGTCTAACAAAATTAAAATGCAGTGAACACTTCTAATTTAAAATGTTTTGTGCAAAATTTCTTTTGAATCCTAAATCTTATGTGGAGGGAAGTGGTATCAAAATAGAATAAGAAGAAAAGGATTCACCGAAAAATCAAAACCTTTATTGGAATATAACATTAAACATGTGAATTAAGAGGGGTCTGAAAAGCAAGGTCGGCATGTGAAATAGCGTCCTATCCGGAATCCCCCTCCCTCTCCCTTATTAGGAACTGTCAGTACTGTTTAAAAGCCCATTTTAAAAAAATCGCAAGCGTTGGGAAGATTGTGGGTTATGATCTTTGAAATTTTGTAATTAATGTTTTGAATTGATTGGTTTCAGAAAGAAAGTAATTCATAAAACTGAAAGAAAAATAAATTAATCAAATAACACGTAAATTCAGTGAATCACGGAGTTTCTTTTATCAGTTAAGAATTTGTTGAATAAATATTAGTTTATGTTTGCGACATTCTGTTTAAAAAGAATTAATCCAGAAAATAATTTATTTTTTTAAGATTGTGGAAATCTTAATAAATTGCTAAATTTTTACTTTTTTGTTAATTTTTATTTTCTCGAATCAAAATATTTTTGTTTAAAACAGTTTTTTTTTATCATATTCATTTTCAAAAATGTTTTGCCCTTTTTTATAATATTTTTAAAAATGTTTTGTTCTTTATATAACTTAAGTTACATTATGACTTTCCTTTCAGCCTTCATCTAAGTAAATAAACTGGAAAAACTCTTGACTGATGCTTTTAACTACGCAGGCTGTGTTTTTTATTTTGAACAAATTTGATTAAGAAATGGGCAAGGCTTAACAATTTGAAAGTAAGGTTTGGTGTCATTTCCAAATTTGAAATCACTCAATCTTAATTTGTCCCTTCCCCCTTTTTCTAAACGAGCTGGGTACTATATTCAAATTATAATTCAATGAAAAAAAGAATTTGGTTCAGTGTCTTTTCCGATTGAATGGAATGGATAATTATATAATGACCGATACTCAATGAAGTTATGTCGTGTCACCCCCCCGGCCCCCACTTGAATTTGTTTTTGGGGGGGTTAAAAGGGATGAAACAAGCAAATGATAACCTGCCTTTTTGATAAAAAATATGCACTCCAGAGATATTATCTGCAAGTTGTCCATAAAATTTCAGAGTGCACATATTAAAGTTCAAATTTCCATAATATGTTAAACATAAAAATAAAGCCTGAGAAGTGCAGTTCATAATGCAGTGTATGATTCAGTGAGAGGTTTAGTACATTATATCTTTAAAAACTCTGTTACACTCTGCAAAGATAAAAAAATCGTCTACAAACCAAAATCTTAAACAATATTCCACAAAATGAAAATTACCAATATAGCTTTTTAACTTAATGTTCGTCATTGTATCAATATTTCTGAGAAATAGGATTGAGCTAGTACCAAGCTCTTAATGACGTATACTTCCAAACTTTTCCACAACTTTACACTAGCTTCAATACAATTCATAATATTATATTCTAACCCCGTATTTTTACATTTGGAAAGATATTGTCAACGTTATTTTACTTAATATTTTATTTTGACATATCTAATGTGATTAAAATTGCCTCATCTGAGTTTTAGGCACGGAGCGGAAACGTCATGTATGTGTGTCTGTACCGAAAGAGTTTGTGTAAGTAATACCGAACCGAAGACATGTACTGTAGGTGTAATACAGTACATGAGAATCTCGGTATTTGTACAGTCTGGGAGAGTGCATTTGTTTATTGTTATTTGTTTACTGAAAAATAAGTTTATTATGCATGTAATAAATGATTTGTATATTTAAGTCAACGCTATCAGCCAAATTTTCGTGCAAAGAATATAATTTGATTAAAGTTTACAATAAACTACTCGATATTCAAGCTTAATTATAATTGACGACATTGTTCTGCAATTTCCTTGACTGTATTCATGTTGTGTGTCTGTACCAAAAGAGTGTGCGTGTGTGATAACGAACTCGCTTGCAAAGCAGTGCGACTGGCTTTCTCATGCCAGATCAGCGTCATTTCCCTTCCCTTCATTCTTATTATCTGGTTTTAGGCCTGAAATTTGACCTTTTTCTTCTTTGTCCAATTCCGCGAGTCGCTTTCTTGAATTTAATTAATACAAACTTAAATATCTGGAACTCCTAATGACAAAATATTGAAATATATTTTTTACGAATATTATTTTAGACGAAGGATTTCATTAAGACATTACCGTGATTAATGAGTTAAAAAAAAATAATTTCTGAATTATCTTGCGGAATTGATAAAACTGGTTCTCGAAACTTCTGCGGTTTTTTTTATAGGTTTGTTTAATTTGCTAACATTGGGTTAAAACGATTCTTGTTTTATTAAGGGGACTGTAATAGTAAATTCAAGTGGCCTTCCATTCAAAGATGGCAATGACTTGCGCATTTCTACTCTAAAGGAAAACTTATAGGATTTATTAGAATTTAATACTTTTCAAGTTAATGACCAGGTTTAAGGGTACTATTGTGAATATTGGAGGGTCACTTAAAATTATGCTTACAGTCCCTTTAAGTTTTTACCCCTTGACGCTGCTTCTAAAATTCGGGAATCTGCTTTCCGTCAAAACTTAAAAATTATCTTTTTAATTGTTTTTTGTTCAGAGCAGGGCACGCGTTTTTTAACGACGTGCAGGATTTTTGGATACCAGGTGATCATCTTTTAATCTAAACCGGTTTTTAAAACTTATATTTTCAATTTTAATTTCAGGGGTTATTTCCCCCCCCCCCCCATTTGAAATTCACTTTTTCTCCTTGAAGGTTTTTTGTTTTTTGTTTTGTTTAAAGGCTTATACGCTGAATTGGGGGAAATAATTATTTTTTAGGGGATAATAAATTGATTTGTAGGTAAAAAGTATTTTAAAAAAATGAAAAAAGTTGCCTATTAATGAAAAATATATGCCCCTTTAAGGCTTTAATCTTTATCTGTTGATCTAAACCGGTTTTTACCGAATATTAATTAACGTCTGAAAAGCTAGTAAAAATTAGTTTACAACCGTTCTGTCTAAATATATCCGGAACCAAGAATCATTAAACAGATCTGAATTTTACAGTAGTTCGGTCTAGATATATCTGGAGCCTGGAATCATTTAACAGATCTGGATTTTACAACCGTTCTGTCTAAATATATCCGGAGCCTGGAATCATTAAACATATCCGGATGTTAGAACCATTCTGTCTAGATATATTCGGAGCCTGAAATCATTTAACAGATCCGTATTTTACAACCGTTCTGTCTAAATATATCCGGAACCAAGAATCATTTAACAGATCCAGATTTTACAACCGTTCTGTCTAGATATATCCGGAGCCTGGAATCATTTAACAGATCTGGATTTTACAACCGTTCTGTCTAGATATATCCGGAACCATGAATCTCTAGATATATCCGGAACCAAGAATCATTAAACAGATCTGGATTTTACAACCGTTCTGTCAAAAAATATCCGGAGCCTGGAATCATTAAACAGATCTGGATTTTACAACCGCTCTGTCTAGATATATCCGGAGCCTGGAATCATTAAACAGATCTGGATTTTACAACCGTTCTGTCTAGATATATCCGGAGCCTGGAATCATTAAACAGATCTGGATTTTACAACCGTTCTGTCTAGATATATTCGGAGCCTGAAATCATTTAACAGATCCGGATTTTACATCCGTTCTGTCTAGATATATCCGGACCCAAGAATCATTTAACAGATCTGAATTTTACAGCCGTTCTGTCTAAATATATCCGGAACCAGGAATCATTAAACAGAAACGGATTTTACATCCGTTCTGTCTAGATATATCGGGAACCAGGAATCATTAAACAGATCTGGATTTTACAACCGTTCTGCCTAGATATATCCGGAGCCTGGAATCATTAAACAGATCCAGATTTTACAACCGTTCTGTCTAAATATATCCGGAGCCAGGAATCATTAAACAGATCCAGATTTTACAACCGTTCTGTCTAAACGTATCCGGAGCTAGGAATCATTTAACAGATCTGGATTTTACAACCGTTCTGTCTAGATATATCCGGAGCCTGGAATTTTTAAACAGATCTGGATTTTACAACCGTGCTGTCTAGATACATCTGGAATCTGAAATTATTACACAGATCCAGATCTTACAATCGTTCTGGCAAAAACGGATTTAAGTCCAGACACCCAAATGTTTCCAACTCATTTAGGCCTAAATGAGACTCTGGCGTAATTTCAAGTAATTCTATAATCAGCCTTTCTTACCGGATGAACAGAGGAAGATATCGTCGTTTTTAATCAGACATGCAATTCTGCAGTTTTTGCCGGAAATTTTTTTTTTCTATTTTGTTTAAGATCAAAATGAAAGTATTTTAACGCCGAACGTAGTGATGTGTGAAATTTTTATTTTTTATAGTTTATTTTGATCGAAAAAAAACTGAAAAGTAAAAATCACAGCAAAAACTTTTTCGCGCACGCATGATACCCATTACAATAACATATTTAGTTCAATTCAATCTTTCTCATCTTATTTAATAACAGGTCGAAAAAGTTACTTAATCACCCTGTTGTAGGATGATAAAGTAACTTTATCGTTCTACAACAGAAACATTAGGTATGAAATTTGAAATTTTAATGCTAGGGTTACAAAGTTACTTTTTCGCCCTTTTGTAGGGTGATAAAGTCACTTTTCACCCTACAACGGAAATAGTAGGTGTAAAAAATTTCCTCAGAATTAAATAAAAGGTCTTTTGAAACTAAACCAACAGTTGTAACCAATTTTTTACGGTCCCTTCTGTTTTTTTCGCCCTGTAGCCCAGAAAAAGGCATGCTTGACGGTCTTATATCATCCCTATATCTTTGCAACCTGATTGTTCAATTTCAAACTTCACTAATCACATCTAATTACGTATTTATAGTTATAAATTTCATCCCTATATTTTTGGAACCTAATGGTTTAATTTCAAACGTCACTAATCACATCTAACAACGTATTCATAGTTTAAAATTTTATCCCTATATCTTTGGAACCTGAAAAGTTTTAATTTTCAAAGGTCTACACTCTAAAACACAGTAAGATCTAACAGGATCTTAAACCAGAATATTTTTGATTAGACATCTCTCATGTATTAGAATAAGATCTAACAGGATCTTAAGCCAGAATATTTTAGATTAGATATCTCATGTATTAGAATAAGATCTAACAGGATCTTAAACCAGAATATTTTAGATTAGATATCTCTCATGGAAAGACTATCCTGTGGCCTGACCTTTATCAGGTAGGATCTTTTTATTTTTATTAAAATACCAAAATTGCAGTTTTATAAATTTTTGTTCTTGGTTTTCCTAAGAATTATTAAATGTCGTTAACAAGGGTTCTGAAATTTCCTTCTTAACTAATTCTACACGTACGATATTTATACTGTTCATATATTCAAGATTTCTTGCAACTGTAAACTTGTTTTTTTCTTTGTCAAATCATTAAATAAGCCATTAGATTAATATGCCATAATTTCCGGTCGTCTTTACATTCTCATACTTTGTGGGTACCCCTGTAGGTATTCTATTTTTATGGATTCGATCGGTTAGGTTTCGTTCTTGTTTAACTCCAAAAAATTATACTCACGTGTTGGAATGATTTTTGTTTTGACCATGGGAGAAACGTATATTGAGGAAAATAAGGCATAACGACGTTACTACGGATTTTTGTTTCTTAGTAATAATAAGGTATAAATTGTAAAAAAATTATCGCGTTTTTGGAAAACTGAAGATTTTTAATAATAGTTGAAAAACAAATAAAAAACATTCCCCCCCCCCTCCCTCCTCTCCCCGTCCCATTTTTAATTTTCAAAACTGATTTAAGTATATTCTTTTTTGTCACACCCTTTATCTTGTATCATATTTACATTTGTAAATCTGTATGCACCTGGTTTTCCTCAGTAATTGACTGGTTCTCATTTATCAGTTTTTTTTCTCCATTATTATTGTACAGGGTGTCCCAAATAAACATTGGATTTGATTTTGTTTGGTAATGCCTTCTCGACTCTTAAATCGATCTTTATCTTGCAGAAATCATGCAGATTATGATAAACCGTTTTGCAAAATAATTTATTAGTTTTTCAACGTTAAAATAAAATATATTTTAGCAGACGTTACTTTATTTTGACCATTGAAATTATGGAGTACAACGCTAATTCTTAACAAAGACGATTTTTAATTCGTTTCTGAATTCCATGTGTTTATCGTGACACCCAGTAGTGTAGAAGTAGAAGTTCATTCAATACGGGGTTTCCAATGAATCATTGTTCTCAAGGTTTTTATAACTAGGCCTCCGCCGCCCCGGCACGTATAAACATCTTAATTTTTCTGTAGGAAATCCCGCTATTGAAATGTTTAAGCCCTTTTTATGATATATTTTCTTATAAAAATACCCCTTCCCCCAAAGTGTTTGAGGTTCTTATTTCTGAAAGATACGTTGTAGTGCATCAAAAGAGAAAAGTTTTTCTAATAATAATTTTTTTGTGTGGGGTGGGGGAGGTATAATGTTAAAAGTTATATTTTTTAATATATACTGTATTCATCCATATTGCATAATAAATTTTGGGGGCTTATAGATCAGACACACTGATTGATTGAGTATTATATTTTAAAAAACCACCCATATTTTACATTTTTAAATCTCTGCTTTGACATGGTGTCAGCATATTGACACTATGTCAAACCTTGTGCAATAATAAATTCGTCTGCACTCTGCAGTCTCAACTTTCATGCGGAAATACATATTGCAACATCAGCGGGGGGGGTGGGGGGACGCAAAAAAATGTTTGAGAAAATTGAAGAAAATTTTCATTTTATAAAGAGACTGTAAGCGTAATCTTAAGTGAGAATCTCAATGTCAAAATTCCAATCGTTTCTCTGCAAAAGTGACTTAATCATTGTTTATCTGTAGGAAACATTGGTAAGATTATCTGAATTAAACAATTGTCTTGCCAAAAAAATTTTAAAATTTTTTATTTTTTTCTTCAAAATTTTTTTTTCGGTGGGCAACGCCGGGCCCTTCAGTTAGTTGTAAAAAGAGCAGCATTGTAAATCAATCTTTACATGGAGGGTCACTTAAAGTTACGCTTACATTTGGAGTTTTTTTTATTTAAAATTTTATTTAAAATTAATGGATTGGAATTCTTTTTTTGCAAGATTTAATTCCTTATCCTTATCACAACTTCCAAATTAGGAAATTTCGTACCTTGTTACCTTTTGTGTATATATCGTATATACAGAAGAATGTAAAATGTCCATAGATACAGTGTTTTGATAAGAATGTTAAATGTAATTTTTTATACATTCCATCAGGGATGTATATTTTTCTAAAAAAAAAAATAATTTTCCCCAGAAGTTAGGTTTGTTCAGGGTTATATTTGCTTAATTTGGGATACAAACTTTTAAAGGGAAAATGTACATTTCTGGGGTAAAAGCATGATAAAGGGTTAATACACCTGTCTGTTCATCTTCAATTTTTTGGCCCCTCAATCTTCAAAAACCATGTCCCCCACTCGGGGGGGGGGGGGTGTTAAAAATAAACTCTTATATTCCTTCAATTCCTCCTTATACTGTAATTATTTTAGTAATTTTTTTTATGTTCACAATTCAAGGAATTTTGTTTCAACCGCCAACAAACCCCCCTCCTCCACCCCCAACCCCTGACTTTCTTTTTATTAATAAAAAATGATGGTGTTGCAACATATTTCACCATATTGTGGCAGAGGCCGTATTTTAATAATCTGGGTTTTATTCGGGGAGCAGTACTCGAACTTACATGAAATGATAAGGTTTGTCTGCTCATTAAAACAACATTGAAAATACATTTTTCCCAAATGTTCAGCAATGGAACGGAATTTTTGTCACAAACTTAAATTTTAAAATCCCTTTATTGTTGCAATCTGATGGTTTATCCCTTCATTAGACCACATAATTTGACACAGTTCATAACAATCTGCGAAATGGAGTTGCAAAAATACAGGGATTACAAGTACAGAGTTTGTGGCAAGCACATAGTTTTTAATTTAGTTTGTTTATCAAAATTAGCACCAAAACAACCAATTTGTAGTGTATTTTTTGTGAAAACTTCGTAGAGTATGATTTTCCATTTAATGAATTGTCCCAAGGGTCAGTTCAGTTACTTAACATACCGCTGTTGGTGTAATCTTTGGTCGGTAATATTGGTCAAAAGTGAATAAATACTAAAATAGTGAATGTACTTACTTTTATCTATATATAAATTTGGCTTGTCTGTCTGTTTGTCTGTCTGTTTGTTTGTATCAAATAAACGTCAAAACGGCTGAACCGATCGGGCACAACTTTTTTGTGGGACATCACGTGACCACAGGGAAGGTTTACGAATGATAAAAATAAAAAAAATATGTGTTTTAAAGGTTTTTGATTTTGTAAAAAAAAATTAAATTCTTGAAAATATGCGAATTTTTTTCTTCTTTGTTTTAACATGTAAACAAAAAGATCATGTTCACAATTTAAATAGAAGATGGGCGCGAAGCGCCCTAAAAGCCTATAGAAAGAAGGGCGCGAAGCGCCTTGAATTTCTAGTTCCAATATATTTCTGTTAAAATATATTCAACCGTTTAATGTTTCAAGCTTCTAAACTTTGGAAGCTTTTTTTATATTTTATTATTCTAAAAATATTCTATTGTTTTTTCGTACATATAATTAACAATGCATAAGATAAGATTTAGAATTTGAAAAATTTTAGACTTAAAACAATTTATATTAAAGGGTATATAAAAAAACTAGTGTCAACCTAAATTCTTTTCAAAACCGGAAATTTACACTTTTTTGTCTTCGTTAAGGGAAAACTATGCGTTTAATTTTGCATAATATTTTTTATAAATCCAGGATGAAATTTTTTGTTTAATTATATTTATCTAACAGTTAACGTATCATCTCAATGGAATGAATTTATCGCTTTTTGTTTGTGGTACATAAGCTTATGAATTATGATGATAGTAATTTTTTTGAGATTAAAAAATCTAATTTAATATTTTTTAGGATTTCTCCTCAGTGCACTCCACTCTGCATTGGATTCACCAGTGCAGACTTAGATGAGCCTGGTAATTAACTTATTTTATAGAGATAGAAAATCGACAATTTCGTTCACATAACGGTTTAATGGATCATGTTAAGCGTTTTGTTCGATTCTCACCGGTACCCTGGTGCTTTCATCTTTTAACAAAAAAAATGTTAAAATCTGACAATTTCCTTTCTTTTATTTGCTGCTAGTCACTTCCAATATAAACCACAAACAAAAATATTCAATTTTCAGTTAGAACTCCAGGATACCTCATTCATCTTTGATTAGGCTTAGATTTAATGGGTGCCCTTGTAAATCAGACATGCCACTTTTCATAAATATATATAACAGTCCCTTTAATGCACGAATCTTCTAGCTCATACAAATATGATAAATGTTTTGAACACAATTTCAATTTAACGAGGTTTCCAAATATCTTGGTTCTCAAAATTCTAATTTAAAAATTTTATTTTAAATTTTGTTGAATTTGATTATTATTTAGGTTAATTTGCCTTGAGCGCTATTTGCGCTATAGCTGTAGGCAGAGACCTTTCAAGCAGTACATAGCACACTTACAGGTAGTACACAGTACATATACTATACTTGCAGGTAGTACACAGTACATATACCACAGTTACGGGTAGTACACCCTATATATACCATACTTGCAGGTAGTTCACAGTACAAATACCACACGTACAGGTAGTACACAGTACATATACTACACCTACACATACACATACCATACTTACAGGTAGTACAAAGTACATATACCATGCTTACATGTAGTACATAGTACATATACCACACGTTCAGGTAGTTCACAGTACATATACCAAACTTACAGGTAGTGATGGTACATATACCACACTCACAGGTAGTACATATACCATACTTACAGGTAGTACATAGTATATATATATACCACACTCACAGGTAGTACACAGTACATATACCATACTTACAGGTAGTGAAAAGTACATATACCATACTTACAGATAGTACATAGTACATATACCACACTCACAGGTAGTACACAGTACATATATATACAACACTCACAGGTAGTACACAGTACATATACCATACGTACAGGTAGTACACAGTACATATACCACACTCACAGGTAGACACACAGTACATATACCACACTCACAAGTAGTACACAGTACATATACCATACGTACAGGTAGTACACAGTACATATACCACACTCACAGGTAGTACACAGTACATATACCACACTTCAGGTAGTACACAGTACATATACCATACGTACAGGTAGTACATAGTACATATACCACACTCAAAGGTAGTGATAGTACATATACCACACTCATATGTAGAACATATACCATACTTACAGGTAGTACACAGTACATTTACCATACGTACAGGTAGTACAAAGTACATATACTTTTCTTACAGGTAGTACACAGTACACAATACTTAAACCACAATCTCACTTACTACAATACAAGACAATACATTTATGCAAGTTTCCGTTTTTTACTTTTAATTAGTTTTGTAGTTCTTTTTCTTTTCTTTTTCCTTAGTGTAATTTTAGTTGAAAAAATACTAATCTAACCACTTCAGTACATTTCTTTATCTTTTCACAGTTATTTTAGTTGAAAAAAATACTAATCTAATCACTACAGTACATTTCTTTATCTTTTCACAGTTATTTTAGTTGTATAAACGAACTACTGTTAAAAAATGTGAAAAAAAAAAACATTTAAAACGTACATAATGTTTAGATAAGTGTGCGCTGTACAACTGTACAGTTGGCAGCTGAATACAGTTCATCCACTTATACACTTCGCCAAATTTTTTATTAAAGGTAAAAAGAAAATCCGTCTTATTTTTCTGTTCTCCTTTGCTTTCGTAGCTTTTCTGCAGAGAAAGGCTTGTAATTGTTGATTACTTGACTGCAAATTGTTAATTTTTTATAGATATTTAAATTTTATATTCCGGTAATCACACTTGAAATATATATTTCATTTTAAATGATCGAATGTCTCTGTCAGATCAGGAAAAAAGTGCGACGTCATTCTTTTTTAGTTTACACTGTACACTAACGTACACTCGGTATTCAATTTTCAGCAAGGTAAAAAAGGATTTCTCCGCCGTCGATGACCAAATTAAGGTTTACAATGTTGTAAATCGGCTTTTTTTAATTAGAGGTTCACTTAAAATTGCGTCCGTCCCTTAAATTTCAGAGTAGTGTACGCCAAGTCCTTATTAAAAGGATCCATCTTAATCAATGAATAATCCTGCACGAAATATTCTACTTAATTAAGATCACAGAGAAATAAAAATAAAAAGGATTAAAATTTAAAATTATATATCGTTTTATAGTGACCATAAGGACAAGGATATTAAGGATCCAAGTCTAAACCATGTAAATTGTAAGTCGAAAAATAAGAAGAAAAATATCAATCAATCAAGCAAGCAATTAATCAAATCAATCAATCAATGATAGGATGATAGAACATTTTTTACTGCTTTAATACATATCTAGTGTTTATATACTAAATATAGCTATAGGTGTGTAACTGATAGAATTAAATTAAAATTATTTATTTATTTAGAACAAATCCGTGACCTATCAATGTTTTCATTAAATTATTCAGATTATTTTCTGCAAATTTTAGTGTTCTCATGATTTATTTCTTCAGTCTGGACTATTTTTAAATCCAGCATTCTCTTTCATTGTTTTTGCTCCATAAATCCGCAATTCAATTATTTTAAGATTTAAGGACGATGTTTTGAAAGTTAGTGTTGTAAATCAGAATGCTTCTCTTAACAACAAACCTCAAATGTCTTTTTTTATTTAGCTTTGAATACTTTTGAAAAATTATTACAATTTTTTTTGTAGGCTGTGGTTTCTGACTAGTCGTACAGCCAAATTTAAAGAGTAGAGGTAAATAAACACAAAGCTTATTATGTACATTTTTCACTGTTAAAAGTACGAATTTCAAAATTCATATGTTAATAAAGTACACGTTCATGGGTTTTATAATGATGCATAAAGACTACAAAAATTCCAGTGTTTTCTGGTTTTTGTTGTTTTAATTTATTTTCTTCCTCAAGATTATTATTATTATTTTGTTTAAATATGTCTTAAATTTTTGAAGCGGAATCTAAATTTTAAAAGATTCCATTTCTTAGAGAAATAAGGCGTTTTTAGACTGTAAAACTTTTAAACAAATGGTATTTAAACGCACGATTTAGGTCACCTCTCCGTCCAACTTTACTAAGAAACCGATTCGTTAGCAAAGTCTAAGGTGAGTCCATAAAATTTGTTTTTGGAAGGGTGGATTAATTTTTGGTGCTCACTCTCCTAAACTTAAATTTTTTTAAATTCAATTTTCGTGAAAGATTCTACACAAAAATTTAGAGATCCTTGATAAAAATGTGCCATTAATGATGGAGAGAGATAAGTGTTGAAAATGAAATCTAACTTAACTTGTCGGATTCCTAATGGTACTTCAAGCCTGAGTAACAAAGAGGATTTTTTTTCTTTTTTCTTTTGCGATGATTTTTTAATTCATCGAATTTTCTACTTTGTCTTTAAAGCAAATATTCATGAATCACCAACATAAAGAAATCGCATTTTAGAATCAAAACAATAAATTTTAAGTTAGACTCAAAAAGGATATATCATTCAATCTTAATCAAGTTTAAAAGGCACGATTTTGAAGTAGTACTGCCAATATATACCCGTCAAATAATCAAGATTACAAGATATAATTTGTTTGTGAATAAAGGCCAAAAATTGATGAGAGGGGTTTTTTTTGAACATCAAAAAATTGGGTTAATTAAATATATATTTGTTGAAACAAACTAGAAGTTAGTCCTAATTAACATTTTTTTTCATTTTGATGCACTATTTGCCAAGGCAGGGTAAAGACTCAACAACAAAAACTTATGAAGTTTCATTTTTGTTTCAAAATGGCTCAAATTTTCAGGATCGGCAAATTTCAGGCCCAAGCATTTTTATTTTTTTTTTAAAATTCTGTGCGCGCTCCCGACAATTTTTTTCAGTTGTGGGACAAAACTTTATCATAGATTGCTGAAATTTCTATGATTTGCCCATGTTGTTAATATACAACTTTTCATGCTCGTAAATATTTGCTCTTCGCGCGCTAAGTTCATTCTTTGATGCGCTTACCGCTGCATTTTCAGTAGTTGAAAGATCAGATTTTATTCAAGGCTAGTACAATTTTCAGGAATTTAAGCTTGTAAATTATACATCTTTTTCTCAAAAGTTGCTCCACACGTATTTAAACCTATTTAAAGCGCGCCCTCACATTTTTTTAAAATAGTTTTACCTAAACTTCTAAATCTTTTCAGAAACAATATATTTTCTGAAGATTCAAAGCGAGCGTGCGCTTTAAATTGGCTTACTGCGCTAACAGCAAACTTTTTTTGAGAAAAATATATTAATAATAATTCAAAATTAAATTCCAGAAAATTATAGTAGGCTAGGACAAGTACTGAGCATACAACTACTGAAAATCAGCGCGTGCGCATCAAAGTCGGAACTTAGCACACGCGGAGCAAATATTTTTGATAATTAAAAGTCTATACATTTCTGCTTGGGCAAATCATAAAAATTTCAGCAATCTGTAATAAAATTTTGTCCCACAACTGATGAAATTGTAAGGCTCGCGCATCAAAGCCCGGTTTGGTGCTAGCGCAGCATTTTTTTATGAGAAAAAATGCCTCTGCTTAAAATATGCCGATCCTGATAATTTGAACCATCTTGAACCATTAATGAGACTTTTTACCTGATTATACATTTATGGACACATAGTGTGGGACGATCATTTGTCCTAGTGAAATGACACAACTGTGACCCGTTCCTTTTAATGCTGAATGATATGTTTAGGATGACCGGAAAGATAATCCGACCTCCTTTTAATGCTGAATGATAAGTCTAGGATGACCGGAAAGATAATCCGACCTTATGATGCTGAATTATATGTTTAGGATGACCGGAAAGATAATCCGACCTCCTTATAATGCTGACTGATATGTCTAGGATGACCGGAAAGATTATCCGACCTTTTGATCCTAAATGATATGTCTAGGATGACCGGAAAGATAATCCGACCTCCTTTTAATGCTGAATGATATGTCTAGGATGACAGGAAAGATAATCCGACCTGCTCCTGCAGAGATAGAGTTCAAGAATATGAGGTTTCTTATCACAGAGCAACCTCAGGAACCAGATACAAAATATTCATCTAATAATATATCTTTTCGTCATAAAACCCGCCCCCCCCCCTTCTTCAGTAGTGAGGTAAAATATGCCTTTATAATGTAAAATTGGTGATTTTTATGAATTTAAATTTAAGAGAGGTAAATTTTCGAAACTTATATTTTTTTCCACGATGTTAGGTCATGTACTTACTATTTAGAGATTATATTTTGTTCGGAGCAAAATAATAGTGGTTTAAATACTAATTATGAAATTTTTATGAGCTTTATTATTTATGGTTAATTTTATTATAAACGTTTTAAAAAGTAATCTTCATCGTGTTTGGATGTTAAATTAGCCTGCAAATTATAGCACCGTGATATTAACTATGTTTAACACTAATATTTTAGTTCGCGGTGCTGTAAAGTTTGGACGGACATTTTTTCTTTGTCTTTTTAGATTCAATTTTGTCCCGAGCTTTAGCGAGGTACAAAATATAATTTAAAAAGGTGAGAAGCTTCGAAATATAGAGAAAATTTAAGTCCGAAAACTTGTAATAGTGTTACAGTTAATTTCATGAAACGGTTTGTGAACTAGCACGGTGCTATAATGTACAGCTAATTTAACATTATAGCGCGATGATTACTTTATAGCATGGTGCTATAGTCTACAGCTAATTTAACATTATAGTTTACGTATTAAACAACCCAATTTAACAAAAACAGTGAAGAACATTGATTAAAGCACTGATTAATTGATGCATTGATTAATGCTTGATTGATTGATGCATTGATTAATGCTTGATTGATTGATTGATGGATTGATTGATGAATTGATTGCCTAATTTGATGCATTTATTTATTAATGCTCGATTGATTGATTGTATTCTGGTGGGTCAGGATATTACCATGGAGAATTACATCAAGATACTGACTGAACACAAGGTAGAGTAGAACCCAACAAATATATACAGTGTGTCCCAAAAGAACTTAATAGCATTAGAATTAAGCGACGACTTTGAGTTCGTCTTTGTTAAAATTAGTAATTAGCGTTGTAATATCTAAGTTTATATCATTATCGTGTATATTGTATGTTCTGTAACAGTAAGCTCTGTTCTCTAAATCTGATTTTAAACCTATGAAAAATGAACGTTGGTAGAGGGGCAACAGTATTTTGTTTGTATATCGCGAAACGAAGAAACAATCTAGCAGACGAAACTTTTTATTTTTATTATTTATATGGCCTCGCTATGTAAGATCAAAAAGCTCTTCATTTTCACTTTTCAGGGATAAATAGTAAATACAAGCTACGCTTATCATATTTAAAGAATAGATGTTTGACATCTTATTAAATAGAATTATTCTTAGATACTTTTTTTTCAAAAAAGTTTTAATAGAAATTTCTTTCCTTTTTTGACCAACCTCGTTACTATAAATACTTTCTTAATTTTAAGACAAACTTAATCCCATGTTCTAACATCTGAGGGTGCTCCATGTACACCACAATTAGGGTTGTAAAACATTTTGGTTCGGTTTTTAAAAACTTGTAATAAAACTGTTTTTATTAAAGTTTTGCTTTTATTAATATTTTTAAGGTTAGGTTTTTATTTTAAATTTTTTTCAGAACTCAGTTCGTTGTGGAACCTGTTAAAAGTCTAAACAACTTAAAAACGAACCAAAACAATTAACAACCCTAGCTACGCGCTAAGCCTTAACTTACAGCTGGCCAAACTGATGAAACAAATTCAATATTTTTTTTCTATTTTTTTTTATTTCACGGGCCACGCCAAGCACTTATATTATTTCTAACAATATTAATATTACACCTGCGCTTTTGTTTCATGTCCTAACTATATGTAGGTATCTCACCTTGTGTGCGCTACCGATCCTACCTATAAAACGGATGAACTTGTTAGATCAGGTTAGCAAACATTTTTTTTAATTGTTAACATATTTCATTGGCTCTTCATATAAATATATCCAGTAGTGATCTGAGCGTTACCTTTTAAACCGACTGTTATAATAATTTCAATTTACCTTCTTTTTAATGGGATACCCTTGAAGGGTTTATCTTATCAATGTTTTGGAAGATATTTTTCGTTTTTTATTCAAAATTCTGACAATTTTCTTCGCTGATTCTGAAGTAGAATGCGCAAGTTCCTTAACAAAGATTATAATTCGACCAGACTAGACTTTCTGTTGTTAATCAGGCATTGTCGTCTTTAGATGGAGGGTCACATGAAATTACGCTTCAAGAGTATTTCGTGTACTGTTCAGTGGTTTTTACAATTCCTTAAAAATTTGTACTTTTGGCTGAAAATTAAAAAATAACAACAAAATAAGAAAAATAAAATATAAAAACTTTTATTCTAAATATATACTCCTGGTTGTGTGTAAATGTCTCCTATTGTCTGGATTGAATTAGATTACGAGTGGTCCTAAGGAGGGGAGTGAATAATTTATAATTGGAAATTGTGTTTTTTTTTAACTTTGTATGGTTTTCATATTTAATGTAACCTCTCTCTTATACTTGTTTAAAATACTCTTATTGCACAGTCTGAAATAGTTAGTTTTTGTGGTCAGCTATTTTTTAAACATGGATAGATAAAATACTGATGTAGTTTTAAGAGCCAAGATATTTAGTTAATTTCATCGTTTATACTTCTCTCCTCAAATCTATTATTTATTTAACAAGTTACAAATTTTTAAAAATTGACAACATTTTTTAAATATTGGGGGAATATTAAAAATTTGAAAAGAGTTAACTTCATACTTGATTGGGAACCCAGCTTTTCCTGGAGTTTTCAAGCTAATAACATTCCCGTTGCCGAGTAACCCAGTCAAAATTTGTGGCAAATCGGTCAAGGGGTTCCTGAGTTATGCTCGGACAAACAAACAACGAACTTGCGCATTCTACTTTAGAATCAATGAAGAAATTTGTCAGAATTAAAAATAAAAAACGAAAAGAAGTACAGACTGACTAAATGTATAACAGGATTATATACAGAGTGAAGTGTAAACAATAACAACAATAATGTGTAATGTAATATATTTTGGGAAGCAAGTTAAAATGAGCCTACACAATATATAGAATAATTAACATGAGAAATCTGAATATATATATATATATCAGTGCTTAGGATCTGGATCCGTTGAATCTGCAATATTTTGGCTTCCTGGATCCGGATTTGGATCCAAAGGTCAAAAATATCAACCAAAAACTGCAAAAAAAAACTTTTTTTTCACTGAAAACCCAAATATGAACGATTGAAAAAAAGAGAGATGTAAAAATTTCTTGATTGGTTCATCAAATAAGACAACAAAATTTGCAAATTCTGCTTTGTTAAAAAGTTCAGTAAATCTAAAATATATGATCCGGATTCATTCTTTTTCAGTGCGGATCAAGGATCCGGATCTGCATCAAAATTAAATGGATCCTAAGCACCGATATATATATATATATTCTTGAATGAATATGTGTTCAGGTGTCTCTGTGTCGGAATTATCCTTCCCTGATGGTTCTCCTCCCAACCCTGATATCATTGATAAATGGCTCTCACTCGTCCATAAGGAGTTCACAGGTACAATTCATTCATTTAATGTTTTATTTTTCATATATATATATATATATATTCACCCTTTTATTCTTTCATCCTTTCATCCTTTCATTTATTTATTCATCTTGTAATTATTTTATTTACTCATTTATTCATTCAATTATTCATTTCGTTATTCAATTAATTCATTCATTCAATGATTTATTCATTCATTTAATAAATTATTCATTCATTCAATAATTCATCCTTTCAATCAATAATTTATTCATTCATTCAATAGTTTATTCATTCAATCAATAATTTATTCATTCAATCAATAAGTTATTTATTCATTTAATAATTAATTCATTCATTCAATAATTTATTCATTCATTCAATAATTTATTTATTCATTCAATAATTTATTCATTCATTCAATAATTTATTTATTCATTTAATAATTTATTCATCCTCTCATTAATATATTCATTCATTTAAGACTTTATTCATTGATTCAATAATTAATTAATTCATTTAATAATTTATTCATTTATTTAATAATTAATTCATTCATTCAAGACTTTATTCATTGATTCAATAATTTATTCATTCATTTAATAATTTATTCACCCTTTCAATGATTTATTCATTCATTCAATAATTAATTAATTCATTCATTCAATAACTTTTCCACCCTTTCAATAATTTATTTATTCATTCAATTATTTATTCATTCATTTAATAATTTATTTTTTAATTCAATAATTTATTCATCCTCTCAATAATTTATTCATGCATTCAATAATTTATTTATTCATTCATTCAATACTTAATTTATTCCTTCATCCAATAATTTAACCATTCATTCAATAACTTATTCACCCATCCTTACATTTATTCTTTCAATCATGCTTTATCTTATTGCATTAATTTATGTTTTTGTCTAACGACTATTTTATTAAATCAAGAAAATATACTTGTGGTTTTTCATTTTTTGACTTTCAAACAGAACGGGACAGTAAGCCGGAGAATTCTTAAGATTAATTTGAAATAAACCTTGGCTTTAATATCCACGTAATTATATCAAAACAACGAAATTGTAGTTAATTTATTTATTTACTTGGTGTAATATATCTCAATAAAGCTAAATTTTCTCTTTCTAAAAGACTAACAACGTGTCGAAGCAATCAAAGTTAAACAGTTTACAAGCTGTAAGACCTTGTTTTATTATCTTGAGTAAGTAGTTTGGTTTGGATATGGGATAAGAAGAACCTCTCATGATTTTATTTTATTTTATTGGATTCGATTACCCTAGACGACCCCGATACCTGTGTGGGTGTTCACTGTGTGACCGGCCTGGGACGCGCACCAGTTCTAGTTGCTTTAGCGCTCATTGAGCTCGGCATGAAGTACGAGGTGAAATCTTTTTATCAATAAGTAGTCTAAGGGATGAAATGATAAAAAAAAAACATGGTTCGAGGAACACAAATTTATTGAAAAAGCTTGTATAATTATATCCCATTTTCTAACAAGATATAGATAACCCGTTAAAAATATTACCTTTAATAAGTTTTTTTTTGGAGACTATAAGTTTAGATACGGTTGATTAAATGGTTGGTTCATTGATTGATTGATTGATTGATTGATTGATTGATTGATTGATTGATTGATTGATTGATTGATTGATTGATTGATCATAGGACGCCGTGGAGCTTATCCGTAAGAAGAGGCGGGGCGCTATCAACACCAAGCAACTGGAGTTCTTAGATAAATACAAGAGAAAGAAGTACTTTCTTAAGGTATACTGTAGTCTTGGAGTAGATATTGTACTCTATGAGTATTTATTGCACTCCAGAAGTATATATTATACTCCAGGATTAGATATTGTACTCCAGGAGCATATATTGTAATCCAGAAGTATATATTGTTCACCTAGAGTAGATATTGTACTCCAGGAGTAGAAATTGTACTCCAGGAGAGATATGGTACTTCAGGAGTATAACCTGTACTACAGGAGTATAACTTGTACTACAGGAGTATAACTTGTACTACAGAAGCATACATATCGTACTTTGATTCGTTGATACGTTGATAGTTTCTCCGCTAAGGTCCTGCATCTTGCAAGAGTGAAGTGATGAGTCAGGTCTCATCTTTTATTATTCTGGATCCATGGCTTCATTTTTATGCTTGACATAACTGTTTTTAAAGCAAATAGGGTCATGGGCCCCTTAACTGCCTCAGACAGTTGGTTCCAGCCTTTAACAACTCGAATTGAAAAAAAAAAATTTGCTTATTTCCTGGTTTGCTCTCTTCATCTTTAGGTTAAGTGGTCATTCTCACAACTCTTTCTCGACATCCTCAAGGAGGTCAATATCTTTCTGGTTTCAGGGTGACCACGCTTGGACAGCATATTCTAGATTAGGTCTCACATATTCTAGATTAGGTCTCACATATTCTTCACCTATTCTAGATTAGATCTCACATATTCTAGATTAGGTCTCACATGTTCTAGATTAGGTCTCACATATTCTAGATTACATCTCACATATTCTAGATTAGGTCTCACATGTTCTAGATTATGTCTCACATAAACTTTGTACAGTCTTATCCAATTGTATTTGTCTCGGTATGTAAAAGATCTAGACATTTGTCCTACTAGTTAGTTTGTTTTCATTGCTTCAGATTGACATTGACTTGAAGGTTTCAATGTATTAGAAATCTTCACTCCTACATCCTTCTCTTCATCTACAGGCTCCAACACTGTACCAACATGGATCACTTTACACTTTCCAGAGTTAAACTTCATTGACAGATTATCAGACCAGTCACAGAGAATATTTATAACATTTTGTAGAACTTATCAGTTTCATTGTTACAGGCGTAATAACACCGGATAGTCTTGAAGATAAATTCTTAAGTATTGATAAAGATGGCAAACAGGGTTGGCCCTAGCACTGACCAATGGTTCATTTTTAATAATAATTATTTCATACTAAGCTATAGTTTTTATTAATTTTAATCATTTTTAATAATTATTTATTTGTAGGGAAAGAATAAATGCCAGATTCAGTGAAGAATGAAGATGTAATTCCTGCACTCGAAGTCTAGATCTGTTTTCTTTTATTCTATCATTTATTTTTATAATAATTTGTTTCCTAGTTTAATCTTGTATTTACACATGCTTAAGTTTATTTTGTATCAAAATTTTCGCTCTCTTATTTTTGATGAAAAGCTAAATTAGTTATTTTTAAGTATGTTTCCTTTCTGAAAAAGTTAAACTCTGTTATTTTTATTTCCTTCCTTATGAATTTTCTTCGGACTTCATCTACATTTATTAGTTAAGCGTAGCTACTCTCTCAATGTTAATCAAAATGTTGTATCCCTACATCTTCCGCTTATATAGCTTGGCCCCCCCCCCTTCCCCCTTCACTGTGTCGTCTGTTGGCGGATTTTCTAAAACTCCGATGGCGGATTTTCTAAAACTCCTCAAGGACAATTTTCACAATTTTTGTAAATGTGCGTAACCCTGGAATTTGTAAAAATATATGATAAAGTGTTTTGACATGATTTACTACAATTGATATTTTTAATCCTGATATTCCAGATGAATATATGATTATAGAAAATGGCGGCTGCCTACGGATAGAAGGAGATTTTAACGCTGCAATGTGGATGCTTGCCGTTCTAGGGTCTAAACTCTGGTACGAAAATTGGATGGTTGCATTTAATAAATTATTTGTTGCCTATGCTTCGTTTCTTCAAATAATTTAATCTTCTAAATTTTGGTGTCTATGTGCCTGTAATCATCGATAAATTTTAGATTTGTTGTTTTCTCTGGGGGATGCGAAAAAAATTCGATTTTCTTTTTGGGTCAAGAGATCTTGCAAATAAATATGGCTCTATTGGCCCAGTCATTCTGGCCTGTGTTGGACACAAATCGCCTGCAAAAATACAAATACTGAAGTTTATCAAATTACCAACAGTCTTCTAAAAGGTTATGAAATTACCAACAGTCATCCGAAAGTATATGAAATTACCAACAGTCTTGTGAAAGTTTATGAAATTACCAACGGTCTTCTGAAAGTTTATCAAATTACCAACAGTCTTATGAAAGTTTATGAAATTACCAACGGTCTTCTGAAAGTTTATGAAATTACCAACAGTCTTCCGAAAGTATATGAAATTACCAACAGTCTTCTAAAAGTTTATCAAATTACCAACAGTCTTCTAAAAGTTTATCAAATTACCAACAGTCTTCTAAAAGTTTATCAAATTACCAACAGTCTTCTGAAAGTTTATGGAATTACCAACAATCTTCTAAAAGTGGATGGAATTACCAACAGTCTTCTAAAAGTTTATGAAATTAGCAACAGTCTTCTGAAAGTCTCGACAAGACAGGAGAATGAAAGTCAAGTGTTCTGTTAAGTTCAAATTTTTTTCATTTTCTGATTTTGTAAATATGTTAAAATGTGTGCAATACTGCAGAAAGATATTTATGTGTGTATTCGATGACAACACGTTTAATTCAGATTTCTATTAATTATTTTTTGACTTCATAATAAGGTTTTAAACGTATTTTATTTTCTTAAGAATTATATTGGAAGATTGAAATTGAAATGTAAAGAGCTAGAGATTAATTTTTTTAAAAGTTATAATTGATATTTTTAAAATAAAGTTTGTCGAGAATCTGTTTTTCATTTATTTTTATTTTTTATATTAAAAAATACATCAACTAATTTAATCTAAAATAAAATTACACAGAATCTCATTTCAACCTTTTTTTCCAGAAAATATTTTCAATTATTATTTCTCAACCATAAAACATCTTTTAAAAAAGGTTTATATTCTATATAGTGGTCGGCGTTCATATCTATACAATGAAGACGACTTATCGATTAAAATTTATGATTTTTAACCAGCTTCTTTTAAATTATAAGTTAACCAGTAAAAAAGAGATGTTGTTATTTGACAGCTTCTGGTTGTTACCTTGCTGTTAGGAATCTAAATTCTAGTTAAAAATCGTCATCATTGTATGAGTGTCTAATCCTCCCAGATCAATTTTTTTTAAGAATCAGGCCATGTTAGGGCATAAAAATGAAATATTAAAATTTTGTAAATCGAAAATAAAAGTTTTATTTTAATTAAAGTTATTAAAATTAATGTCCTTAAAATGTTCACAGCTTTTATACACGCATTTTCAGATATTCCTTGTGTAGAACGGCGAAAATAATTCCGAGTCAATAGAATTTCAGTCTTTTTGTTAATTATAGGGAAAACCATCGAATTTTTCCGGTTGGTTCCATGGGGAAAATTATTGGCAGCCGCAGATTTATGTCAAATATTTTGCTATATTTTATATCGCGATATTGCATTACGGAGGTAGAAGAGATATTTTTACGTTATTTTCATGGGTTTTGAAGATACCAACATGATTTAATCATTGCAATACTTAAGTCCATCCATAAAATATGCACTAGCGTCGCCAGGTTTTTTTGCACATTTTGTGTTATTTTTAATATTAATTTTAATATTTATAATATTATGTTAGATATTTCTAATGGAAATTTTATTATTTCTAACATTTTTAATCATTGTAATAATTTTTTTAATATTGCTCATATTTTGTAGAATATTTTTAGTACAATTATTGACAATAATTTTTGATATTTTTTATCTTAATGGATAGAATACATGGTTTGTCTGTTTGTTTCTTTGATTCAAAACGGATGGCTGGTCATCATTGAACTTTTTTGCCTGGGAAAATGAAAAAAAATGATTTTTGAAAATCTGTCAATTATAACAGAAAAGTCTGCGAACTTTTGTAAATTTGAATTAAAAAAGAAAAATGGCGGTTTGAAAATCAACAATCAAATGCTAAAACTATTACTAGTTGTCAATATTTTAACATTCATTACATCAGACACGGAATTAATTTACAATTAATAAGACGATTGTACTACCGTAATTTTACAAATATGATGGATGAAACGATAATTACAAATAGTAGGGCTATTTCTAAAATGTTCTGCTTTTTTTGAGCATTTAAAATTGCCAGATATATACATACGTAATGTCGCCTTTTGGTATATATTATAGAGTATATAAATATATAAGCTCTACCTACAGAGATCTGAGGTAAGGTTCGATGCTCCTGGGGCGCGAACGCACTTAGAGATAGAGGGTGTGGGTTTGCGCATAAACTGTCAATTAATTCCGGGTTATTCTGATTAGTGATTCTGACTATAGACTTTTAACATTTTTAATAGGTTTTTTTTCAGGATGAGTAGTGGAATGAGGATGACAGAATGGTTGGTTTCTGTAGCAGAGGTAATAATAATAATAATAGTAGTAGTAGTAACTATCTGAAGTGCCCGGCGTTGCCTGTGGAATAAGAATATAAAAACGATTAAAAAAATCAAAGTTTGAAAAAGAAAATCGTTGTTTAAAGACTACGTTGGGGGTAAAAAATCTGCCAATTTGGTCCAGCCCTTTGGCCAGCTATAGCTAATTATATATATATATAATATAGAGATAATAATAGGTATCAGATGCAATCTATGATACTTCGCGACTCTCTTTCACGTGATAAAAGAGGAAATATTCTCCCCTTCAGATGCAAAACAATTTGCAATTAATCTTTTTTTTAGCATCATTTTTCTTTCCATTTAGACGCGCGGTAGGGGGGGGGGGGTAATTCTTAAGTGAAAAATATACAGTAAATAAGAGTAATATGTTATTCAGATGATTCTGATTAATGTTATGATTAATAAAAATATATTTTTCACGAAAATGCTAAGCCTCCAAAGTTAATAATTACCAAGAACTATTCGCTGATCAAAAATGAAAATTATCTGTTCCAGGTTTCTAATCTTGTTTCTTTCCTGGCAGTGCTCATCTCCTTCACCGTGATGTTCTTCTTCATCATCAAGCTCATCGGTGAGATTATCCACTCAGTAGAGGGAGGCCAGCAACAACAATTTATCCTCCGAGCCACATTGTAGAAATTCTCGTCCGGATTCGGATCCAGCTCATGAGTTTTTCAATTTTTCTTTTTTAAATATCCCAAAAATTTCAATATTTTTAATGTAGAAACTTTATTCAAAATTAAATGACTTATTTGAGGATCATTATACATACGCATATATTTGCGGATTTTAAATTATTTAATAGCTCTGAGTTAAATTTACAGATAGGAGAAACTATACAGTGATAACCAGAAAGTTCTAAAATAGGAAGACGACTTTAGAATCAAATTATAACTTTAAAAAGTCCAAAACAGGTGAAACAGACCCATTTCACTAAACTACGGATTTAATAAGTGTCTAGTAAACTAATTGCTTTGTAACAACATAAAATACTAATAAATATTGCGATAATGTCGTCTTTTTATTCCATTGTTTTCTGATGCTCGCTGTTAGAAGAACTGTGAAGACCATGTAAATATCTTTTAAAAAGAAATATTTTTTAATCCTACGAACATTCATAATCTTTCTCCTCTCGATTCTTCGACAGTTGACAAGGACTGAAAAACAACAAGTTAATTTTAGATTAGGGGGAGTGGGGGAGGGAGTTATAATCTTATAAAAGAGAGCCAACTATATAATATTACAGGACAGGATCTTATAGAAGGAGGAGGACTAACTAGGGTAACTCATGCTCCACCTAGGTATACTAATCTCTTCATACATTTGGCAAGTTTGTCTGTTTTAATGCTGGTTTGTTTGTCTGTTTTTATGCTGGATTGTTTGTCTGTTTTTATGCTGGCAGTTTGTTTGTCTGATTTTATGCTGGTTTGTTTGTCTGTTTTTATGCTGGTTTGTTTGTCTGTTTTTATGCTGGATGTTTGTTTATCTGTTTTTCTGCTGGTTTGTTTGTCTGTTTTAATTGCTGGTTTGTTTGTCTGTTTTTATGCTGGTTTGTTTATCTGTTTTTATGCTGGTTTGTTTGTCTGTTTTAATTGCTGGTTTGTTTGTCTGTTTTTATGCTGGTTTGTTTGTCTGTTTTTATGCTGGTTTGTTTGTCTGTTTTTATGCTGGATGTTTGTTTATCTGTTGTTATGCTGGTTTGTTTGACTGTTTTAATTGCTGGTTTGTTTTTCTGTTTTTATGCTGGTTTGTTTGTCTGTTTTTATGCTGGAAGTTTGTTTCTCTATTTTTATGCTGGTTTGTTTGTCTGTTTTAAATGCTGGTTTGTTTGTCTGTTTTTATGTTGGTTTGTTTGTCTGTTTTTATGCTGTTTTTTTTGTCTGTTTTTATGCTGGAAGTTTGTTTGTCTTTTTTATGCTGGTTTATTTTTCTGTTTTTATGCTGGTTTGTTTGTTTGTTTTGGTGCATGCCGGTTTGTTTGTCTGTTTTTATGTTGGTTTGTTTCTCTGTTTTTATGCTTGTTTGTTTGTCTGTTTTTATGCTGGTTTTTTGTCTGTTTTTTTGCTGGTTTTTTGTCTGTTTTATGCTGGTTTGTTTGTCTGTTTTTATGCATACTGGTTTGTTTGTCTGTTTTTATGCTGGTTTGTTTCTCTGTTATAATGCTGGTTTGTTTGTCTGTTTTTATGTTGGTTTGTTTGTCTGTTTTTATGCTGATTTGTTTGTCTGTTTTTGTGCTGGTTTGTTTGTCTGTTATTGTGCTGGTTTGTTTGTCTGCTCCCACGTCAAAACGGCTGAATTGCGAACATGACCAAAAAGAATGACGAATCCAAAATCTTAAAAATTGCTGATATATTAGGTTGAAAAATTCTACTAATGGAAACAGAAAAATCTGTCAAATTATTTTTGTTACCTTTGGTTACTTGAAATAAGATTATGTAGGATGATTTTTTTAAATTGCTTTAATAAAGTTCCCTTGAGTAACTTACATTTAAAATGTAGGTCCATTGATTTTTTTTGGGGGGGGGGGGGGGATAATCGGACACTTACAAGTTTAATGACATTTTTTGGATTCTGTAATTAAATTGATAAATAAATCATTTATTATTGAACACAATTTTCTATTTTCAGAATAAATTTTACCAAAGTGTGTCTTCCATTCCGAGTTAAACTAATAGGGGTCAAGGAGCCATACAGGTGAATAAAAATGTTGCCAGAAAAAAATTAAGCTTTCTCTTGCTTTCTCTTGCAGCTTTTTTTTAAATCACAAATAAATCGAGTCTGTCCACTGGTCCAGTCTTGAGTAGTGACAGATTCAAGTTTTTTTTTCAAAACAAAATTTTGTGTGTTAAATGTGATCTTGTTTTTGTAGAGACAGATTTTATTTTTTGTTAGGTAAAATGTGTGAATTGTTAAATGTAATCTTGTTTTTTTTTATGGACGGATTTATTTTTTTTGTTAAATGAAATGACAAAGTGTTTTAATTGAAATATTTTGTTATTATTACTAAAATTAGGTGGAAAAAATAATCAAAACAGCCAAGAGCTATTTTCCACCTAATTGCTTTATACTTGTACTGTTAATATAATCATCAATATTGTGATTGTAAACTCTATCTGTATACAGATACATTTATTTTAGCAATAAACTTTATCTTATCTTATCTTATCTTATCTAGTGTTGAATATAATCTTGTTTTTATATTGACAGATTTTAGTTTTTTAAAAACAAAATTTGTGACTTGGTAAAATATAATCTTGTTTTCTATTTTGTAGAATAGAAGTGAGTATAAGTTCGGTGAGCGTAGGTCAGATGCGTGTATTCTGGGGGGTCGATATTCAATCTTTTCATCAGGTACACCATTTTTCAAATTTCATATTTAAAAAAAAAAAAATTCTGACCATTTGATATTTTTTGAGATACTGATATATTTTATCCTTGACCTGTTTTTTTCAGCAAAATAGTGGCTAAAAATATGTTTATGTTTTTGTTGCTTGCATTTTTAAACTCCGGTTAGCTTTATATTTGAACCAAAATAGCAGTTTTAAATGACAAGGAAATTTTCATGTGCTTAGGATCAATTTGATTTTGATGCAGATCCGGATCCCGGATCCGCATTGGACAAAAATGGATCCGGATCCAGGTCATGAACATTTCTTTAAGATTTACTGAATTTTTTAACTAACAAAGCAGAATTGTCAAATAATTTTTCTTCTTTTTGTCTAAGGGCCATGAAATATATATTTAGGGTTCAGGTTCTAAGGGCCCCGAAATATATACCTATGTTTCAGGTTCTAAGGGCCCCGAAATATATACCTATGTTTCAGGTTCTAAGGGCCCCGAAATATATTCCTATATTTCAGGTTCTAAGGGCCCCTAAGGACTGGTTTTTATCAGCGTATACTCACGGGAATCTGTTCGGACAGGAATTAATTTATTCATCTTTATTAATAATTTTATATTTATTTTAGCAATATCAATTCTTTATAGGGGTAAATACTTTCATATGTGGGGATGGAATAATTTTAATTTAATAATAATTTTAATAATAAATTTAAAAGTTTTTTATATATCCCCTAAAATTCATATTTTTTCTCTCCACATTCAGGGAATAAATCCCTAGGATTTGTTATAGCGCTTTGCGCAAATAAACATCTGTTGGGGGAGGGGCGGGGGAATATTTTCAAAATAGGATAATTTTCCCTGAAATTCAATATAAATCTACAGCTGATATACATAGAGGTAACTTTGTTCTACAGTCCAAGCTCTCAGAAGCAATGATTATGTCGAGGTGACCCTATTTTTTATTTAATTTTTTTTGCTGAACACTAGAGCATCTTAGATTAGTTTTAAAAAAAGTTTTTTCGACTTTTTTTTGTTCTGAAAACCATATTTTATCAATATTTTGTGGTATTCATATTTTTGGTTGCTGCTGCCAAAGGAATGAATATGTTGATGGTAGGATAAATGCATGGAGCTAGGAAAAATAGAACAAATTGATAAGGTAAGTTAGAGAAAAGAATGATCTATCTGATTCACACCGGTACCATTTAAACGTCTATCTGGCTAACCACATTTTGTTTGTTTGAAGAGCATCACGCTTTGAAGATATCGATTTATCTTTGATTAGACTAAGGTTTAAAGGGTGCCGTTGTGTGTCACACATGCAAATAGAAGTTCACTAGAATCTTTCAATATAATTTTCCACTGTTCAAAATCCTTGTTAGGGAAGCTAATTAGTTTTTTGGGGATATTATCAAATGAATTGAAAACTGAAAAGCTTAGTCAATGCGCGCCCGGGCCCACGGTAAAGTTTCACAAAACCAAAAATATTGGGAACAATTCATATTTGTTTGCGTCCAACGACGATGCCAAGTTAAATTTTTTCATAACAATTGATTAAAACCCCTCTGCAAAATGAGGGGGGGTAGTAAAATTTGAAACATTATTGTTAAATACCCTTTTTTAAAGATGGATGACAGATTAGTGACACTTACGAAACCCACAGATGCTCCTTTAGAATTAGGTAATTTTATTTCTCAAATCTTTTTCTTTGAAAAAATACAGATTTGTTATGTATATCTATTTTTTGAAAACGTGATGATTATTTTAGTCTTTTAAGTTGTATTAACATTGATTTTACAATGTTTTTTTTTACATTTTATAGTTTTCAAAGTACCGTCATTGTGAAGCCCAGTTAAAATATTAAGATTTAACAGTGTTAAAAATGTCAACAATAGTTCTAGATGGGTTTAGGAAAGTGTGTAATGTATAGTGTGTTTTTTTGTCGAAAAAGAGGTATTCGACAACTTTTATTTCTATTGGTTGCGACTTAATTATTATTCCATCATAATAAAAAATAAATATCACTGTCTCTAGGATGATAGGAGTACGTGGTTAAAAAAATGTCAGATTTAAGTCAACCCTGCTCTGAATAAATGCTTTTATGGTCTTGATAATCCTTAATTTCACTTTAAAAAAAAAACCACGATCAATGGAAAAACTCAATTTTATTGAGAAAGCTTTATTCTGGAAAGACAAAGCTTTAAGGGGTACCGCTGTGCGTCGGGGAGTGACTTGAAATTATGTCCACATCATGAGATATTTTTATTGTACAGGGCCTGCACCTCGAGATGTTTATCCTTGTGTTCTTGTCCTTCAAGCAGATCAGGAGACTATCCTTACAGTTATTCATGTACAGGACTTACAGTGTACAGTTCCTAGCCAGGTAAATTCATGTACAGGACTCAACGTACAGTTCCTAACCAGGTAAATTTATATACAGGACTCGGTGTAAAGTTCCTAGCAAGGTAAATTCATGTACAGAACTCAGTGTACAGTTCCTAGCAGTGTTTCGGATCCATATCATTTTGATTCGGATCCGGATCCGAGGTAACTTTTGATTCTGTGAATCGGATTTTCCCTATTAAATGTTATGCAAGGATTTATAAACTATAGTAATCCTAAAGTTAAAAATGTCATTACTATTATATAAATGTAAACATTGAATTATTAAAGATAATTTTGAAAAATTATGTAAATAATACATTTACGAACCATTTTGATTTATTTATTCCATGGTTTTGGTTAATTTTTGGCGCTACCCGGATCCATATCAACGTTTCCTGATACGGATCCGGATCCGAAACCTGGTTCCTAGCCAGGTAAATTCATGTACAGGATTCAGTGCACAGTTCCTAGCCAGGGAAATTCATGTACAGGACTCACAGTGTACAGTTTCTAGCTAGGTAAATTCAAGTACAGGACTCTTGTACAGTTCCTGGTCAGGGAAATTCATTTACAGGAATTACAGTGTATATTCAAGTATAGGACTCACATTGTACAATGTACAGTAATAGCCAGGTATATTCATGTGCAGGACTCACAGTGTACAGAGTTCCTAGCCCATCTTCTTTTTCAAATGTGAACATTTCTCTTTGTATACATTGTAAAACAAAACAAAAAATGTTGCGTATTTTATCAAATAAAATCGTTGATTTTCAAAATTTGATGCCAATCGAGTTGTTAGAAGCAAAATTTAAAAAAAATTATCATCTATAAATCTTCCCTGGGAACACATGAGATGCGTTCGACACAAAATTTTCCCAGCTGGAAAATTATTTTTTCTTTCCACCGTTTTCTTATTTTCTACTGTGATCGGAACTCTTTTTTTCATCCGCAAATGTCTTTTTGTGTAGCTTCGGCATTGTATGATTAAAAGCTGTCTTTTTTTAGTCCGCAATTGTTTGCTGTCGGAGTTTGACTCCATCGTCGGATCAAAACTAATTTATCAGTCCGTCTGAAGAACTTTGAGGATGAAAAGACAAACTGTTTCTTCCGATATGAAATCAAAAAGGATGATAAAAAACGAGGGCCCGCTGAAAAGCGCGCTCATTTGTCAAATCTTAGCCAGTTTAATTCATTTCTTCAAGGTGTAAGCACGCTGCTCAATTTGTTCAGAAAGTTTCTACATGATGAGANTTTCCTGGGGTCGTGTCAAGCAACACAAAAAATTTGGGCCTGATCGGTTCAGCTGTTTCGACGTTTATTTGATACAAACAGACAGACAATCAACGTATTTATATGATAGACTTGTAAAATTATGTTTGTTTAGATTCTATCTGAATATTATAAGAGTGGGTCTAGTTCAACCTTACTTCAGTCAGTTTATCTCGCTGCCTCGGATATAGGAGAAAGTTCAGGAAATTAAGCTGATAAAACCGCTTTATTTGTTCAGTCCCCATTTTTCTTTCTCTAAATTTCATCTTTTTTCTTGTACCCATAATATGATTTCTGAAACAATAATGTTTTTTTTCTTAAACCCAATTTTTTTTTTAAACCGCCAACTCTTCTTAAACCGCCAACTTCTTATCTGAAACCACCAATTTTTTTTTAAACCGCCAACTCTTCTTAAACCGCCAACTTGTTTTCTGAAACCACCAATTTTTTTTTAAACCGCCAACTCTTCTTAAACCGCCAACTCTTCTTAAACCGCCAACTTGTTTTCTTAAACCGCCAACTTGTTTTCTGAAACCACCATTTTTTTTAAACCGCCAACTCTTCTTAAACCGCCAACTTGTTTTTTAAACCGCCAACTTTTTTTCTTAAACCACCAACTTGTTTTCTGAAACCGCCATTTAGTTTTCCTGTTACATCGTCAATTTAATTTGTTATGCCGTATTTTTATTTTCTTAAAACGCCATTTTTTGTCTACTTAAAACACCATGATTAATGATTATCTTCTGAAATTGGTATTTTTCTTTAACTGCGTTCTATGTTATTTTAACATTTAAAATTGAACACCCGGAGGCCGAATTTAAAGAATTTGTGCCGCGGCTTAAGCCGGGGCTCAAATATGGTTGGTTCCACTTTAAATCATATTCAATGTTTCAAGATTTAAGCCGGCGCTCAATTGAAACCGGTTTTTCGGGGATTTGAGGCGCGGCTTAAATTCACACTCAGATTAATTTTTTAAAACAATTTTTATTCTCTCAGAATTTCTTGTTACATTTTTTTATTGTTTCCAAATTTTTTTTTTTTTTTTGTAATTATCAGCAACACATTCAGACACGGAGAGTCAAGCAGAGACAGATGCTGAAGAAATGACAGGTTAAAAAGATTTTTTTTTCTAAATTGGAAAACAAAATTTAGTTGAAGTTTTTTGGCGAGTTAAAAGATATATCTGTAATTTTTTTTTATTTTTAGAAAAACGTGCTTACTTTTAACTAATAATTCTGCTAGATCAAATAATTCAAATCTAAGGTTTAATCTATATGTTGCAAAGAAGGGACAAGAAAGTATAATTAAGACGAAAAGAATAAAATTGGGAAATTGATTTTTTAAAAGCAACAGAAGTTAGACTATCCCAACTAAAATTCTTTATAATAAAGCTCTTAGCTCATAAATAAATAGTTTTATGTTATCTACAGCTGGCCATACCTAATAGTTTTATGTTAGCTACAGCTGGCCTAACCTAATTCGCGGAATTTTTTTTTTGAGGAAACCATTGGAAAATGACTGAGTATTCTGGAAGTGACAGGCCAGAAAATCTAAAAAAAATCTAAATTTAAACTTTCGAATTTTTTCGTTTTTTGTTTTAATTCCATGTGCTACGCCGGTCACTTAAGCTAGTAAATTTTATATTTAGGTGTATATATATATATAAAAAAATTTTAATGAAAATGTACTTTTTTGTACAATCGATTTCTTTTTGGTAAATCATATAATTTTTATCCATTCGCTAAACACATGGAAAGGTCCCTGGCTAATTTGCCTTGTTTTATGCAAACTAATGCATCGGTCTCTATGTCGTCTATTACTGAATTTACTTTAAATTAAAACATCCTAAAAATGTGTCATTTTATTTATCAAATATTTACGATTTTTTATATATATAAATGATGCCCTATGCAAACCAATTGTGATAAATAATTTTAAACAATTTCTTGTATATTTAAATTTATTTGTATATTTGTAGATTTAAATAATAAAAAAATATAATTAGGTGTGTACGGTAGGGCCGGTGCTCGGTGTATAATCTGTCAACAGAGTTATATTACAAGGGTTGTTCTTCCTTGCAGGCATGCTACTTCATGCAGCAAGTGTTTTAAAAGGTTGGCAATACTTTTTTTAAAAAATTTACTCTAAAATTAAATTTTTTTTATCAGGGGTTATATTCCAGAAGTTAATGATATTTGCAGGAATTGAGGAAGGAATTGAGGAAGATAAATGATTTTTAAGTGAAAATAAATAAAATTTTGGGTTAAAAATATTAAAGAGTATTAAAAAGATTGCATTTGATGTATAATTTCATCCCCCTTCCCCCCCCCCCTCCTCCCGAGAATTATTAAAATATACACCTCTGTTTTTAATACCTTTAGTTTTGCTACAGTGGTAAGCGATTATATCAATACAATGAAGACAACATTTATTTTTATTTAAGTTTGATTGTCAACAAGCTTTTTTCGAATATCAAGTTCACAAATAATTAAAAAGTAGCTTTGTAATCGACAGATTCTCTTGACTTCTATGTTTATGTTTATTCAAGATAGTAAACAACTTGATACAATCAAATTAGAAACCGAAAGTGGTCTTCATTGATATAATCGCCTACTACTGTAGATCAATAATTGGTCAGGTCAAGAGTAAAAACCAATGAAAATAAGAATATATCACTCTTAAAGTTTAATTTCATTTCAAAATTAACTTGTCCCAAAAGAGTAATTATCGTATCTTTTCCTCGAAACAATATTTTTATTTATCTAAAATCTTCTTATGCATAAATGGAAACTGACGAATTTTAAATTCAATATTTATTCCAGAATTTGTCCTGATTGATTTATTTTCGTAGATTGCAGAACTGTCCGATGTGTCGCGGATTTATCCACTCTTATTTTCTAATTGGATCTGAACCTAGAGAAGACGACATTTCAGTTCCAACTGATAATCACCAGGAATCCAGGTACAGGGTGTCCCACGAAACATGACAATAGGAAGACGACTTGAAAGTCGTCTTTGGTATTTGAATTTATTAGTGACATTAGTCTTCTATCTACTTTAACATGTATGATTCTTGAAACAATTATCACATAATTCTCCTAGCCCTGGCATTTCCAAAAAGGGTCTGCGTTTTTTGTGCTTTCAATATTACCTGAGATATAAAGAGTTTGGTTTAGATTTCAATTTTGTTAAATAATAGCAAAATTGTCGAAATCTGAACGAAATTCTTCATATCTTGGGCAATATTGAAAGCACAAAAAAGGCAGACCACATTTTGGAAATGGCAGGACAAGGGAAATTTTGTGATTATTATCTCTGGAAATTTACTTCTAAAATTAGGTTGACAAATAAACGCAGCAAATTATATCAAAAATCAAGACGACATTCAAGTCGTCCTGCATACTGTCATGTTTCGTGGGACACCCTGTAGCTTGATTGTAGGACGCGGCATTTAAACATGGGCATCGGTTGAAAAACAAATTTTACAAAAACAATTTATAATTTTTAATGGTTTTTCTTTGATCTATATCTTTGAGTTGTCTGTTTGTTTGTTGGTGGGTCGGTTTTCATGTATTAACAAAAAATGTTAAAATGGCTGAACCGTTTGGACCTTAAATTTTTTATTGTAGTAAATGTGACCCCATGGAAACTGTTATGGCCGTTCGAAACTATAAACTTTTGCCTTAATAAGGACAGTTTTCTAAGTTTTGGAAACCTTTTCAAGAAAATAGAAAAATATAATAAATTTTACATTGTTTGTATGATGTATAATATATGAATAAACTTAAAGTAACATTAAAACTGTTAAGTTATTAAATTCAACAATATTTATTTTATTATACTTTTTTCAGGGGGTTCAGAGATTTCATTAGAAGAATTCGTTTTTGGACTGCTGGACCTCTCGTCATGAATGACAACGATTAGTTTTAGCTTCTTTTAACAAATTTATTTATAATCAATTTCACATTCGTCATGCAATTGCAGTGTTATAATCTATAAATTCGATCTCCGTGATATCTCTGAGACAGAGTGCATCATCACAAGAACAAAAACTTTCAGTGATAAAATCTGTTTTTTAGTTACGCAAAAACTGGCAATTCTAAAACTCATTTAAAATTAATATCTTGAGCAGCCAACCCCGTTTAGTAAAGCTTTTTTTCAGTCACAAAATTCGGCCCTTTGGTAGAAAAGAATTAAGTGCTTTTTTTAAATCAGAGAAGGAAGTATTGTAAAGTTAAATTTTTTTAAATTGCTCTAGCATTGAATACCAAAACCTGACCTTATGTTCTTTAATTCCTAAGCTCAAAAGTAGGGTTAGTAGAAGGTGGTAGTTTAAGATTTAGGGCGCTTTGCGCACATCTTCTTTTTCAACTTTTAATTATGGCATTATCTGTGAGCATCTTCTCTGTGTACAGTATAAATTTTTTTTATTTGCGGATTTCATAATATTTTTTCGCGCATTTTCAAAATTTTACAAAATTAAATAATTTAAGATAAAAATATTTTAAGATTACATATTTAAAGTCTGATTGGCCATAAACCTTCCCTGGTGCCACGTGAGGTCCCACACAAAATTTGGACCTGATCGGTTCAGCTGTATTGACGTTTATTGGATACAAACAAACAAACAGACGGACAAGCTAAATTTATATATAGATGAGATAGGATAATAAGATGACGCTCAATTTTACTGTTTAATCGAAAAATAAATATCAACCATCATTTTAATCATACGTACAGTCATACAGTCGTCATCAATATATAGAAATACCACAAAGACTTCTTTCGATTTCATTTAGAAAATGTTTATAACAGAGCTGAAAACTTTAGAATGGTGGATATCGAGATTAATACTTGATCTTTTCTGTTTCACAATATCGAGATTAATCTAACATTATACTTGTATCCTGAAAAGTTTATAAAATTCAACCAATCCGAGTCGCGTTTATAAAGCCGATAAATTTGAAATTTTGTTTTAATTTTAAAAAAACCGGTTTTTCATTTTTCTCTACAATATCCAAGAAAGAACGGTTTAAGAAGAAAATGATAAGTGTGGCCATTGGATAATCAGATTAAGTAATCGGTTTTAAGGATATCTCATTCTAAAGTTTTCAGCTCAGCTTCTCTTTGTCTTCTTGTAAACTTGTTAACTTGTGATTTTGAAAAAATTGTTACAAATTAAAACTTCAATAAAAAAGTCGTCTGTATTGTACTAATATTAACGCAGACCACTGTAAGATTTTTGATTTTGCCGGTGTTTTTATCGTTAGTTCTTTAAGAGTATATATTGAAGTGGTTTTGAATTATTTCTCTAGTTTTCAGCAAAGAAATTTCACATGTTTTTTGTTCAAATGTGTTGTCTCTATAGTCATTGTAAATTTACATAAAATTATTATGTAAAAATAAATTTTAAGTTTATTTAATATTTTTAATTTGTGTTAAATACATGGGTATCACACATAGCTAAAAATAAAAGTTTGGGTACATATGTATAGGTTTATGTGTGATTTGTCCCATTTTAAGCATATTGTAGTGTTAGTCTTTAAAGGGAGTGACCGGCAATGTATGGTAGTTGAACTTAGAATGTAGTATTGAGAACTTTTTTAGGAATCCTTTGAGACCTATGAGACGTTTTTACGGTGCATATTCGTTAAGCAAGAGCGCAAATTCAATCTTTAAAATCCCCATAGATAGTTTATTTTTGAGGGATGATTTGAGAATAGGTTTTTAAAAAAACTATTTAATAACGACGTCGAAAAATGTAAAAATTCTACAGTGAACTAATTAGTTAAGGAACAGGTTGAGAAAATAAAAATTAACTCTCGCATCGAAAATAAGTAATCGTGTTAATTTATTGGTTTCCGTAATGTCTTATTGTTCACAAACATTTTCTGTAAATTTTTATTAAAAAACACGACATCTTAAGAAATCTGCGAACAAATTCATAAAGAATAGGAAATTCAGTATAATGATGAAAGAGAAATAATTGATCCTAACATTGAGCCATATGTTCCTAAACATCTAATTAGTTTACCGTAGAATTTTTTCTCATTTTTGTGTGGTCGTTATTTAAAATTTAAAAAAGATTATATTCCAAACGTTAACACCCAAATGATGATCTTGAACGTCGACCTTACGCTCAAACTTGGTAATTATACATCATAAATACATACTGAGCCTACCCAAGGTTCTAAAGCTGATCATAAATCTTGATCTTCCGAATTTATATTTCTCTTAGAAAACTTTCAATTCCAGGCAATGTTAAGACACTCCGACTGGATTAAGAGCGATAATACTAGTATTAGCTAGTATTGGATATTTCGTAGATTACAGCTTTGTGTCTGTAAAATATTTTACCAGTGCTAGGAATTAGGATCCGGACATGATCGGGAACATTTTGGCTTCCTGAATCCGGATCCGTAAAAATATGTGGATCCACTGAACCAAACCTTAGGATCCATTTAATTTTGATCCGGATCCTGGATCCGCACTGGAAAAAAATGGATCCGGATCCAGGTCAACTCTTAATGATTTACTTCCCAGTAAAATCGTTCAGATGCGGGTAAATGGCGGCAGTTACTTTTAGTAACCTGGGCAGCGCTGGGTTCCCAAGATAGTAGAAGTATAAAATTATTAAAGTATAGAAGCATAAAAGCACAAAAGCACAGAATATGTAAGTATAAAAGTGTAAAAGTAAATAAGTATAGAAGTATAAAAGTATAAAAGTATAAAAGTATAAAAGTATAGAATTATAGAATTATAGAAGTATAGAAGTATAGAAGTATAGAAGTATAGAAGTATAGAAGTATAGAAGAATAGAAGTATAGAAGTATAAAAGTATAAAAGTATAAAAGTATAGAAGTATAAAAGTATAAAAGTATAGAAGTATGGAAGTATGGAAGTATAAAAGTATAAAATTATAAAAGTAAATAAGTATAGAAGTATAGAAGTATAGAAGCATAGAAGTATAGAAGTATAAAAGTAAATAAGTATAGAAGTATAGAAGTATAAAAGTATAAAAGTAAATAAGTATAAAAGTATAAAAGTATAAAAGTAAATAAGTATAGAAGTATAGAAGTATAAAAGTATAGAGGCTGAAAGGCCTGGGCGGGAATTGGTCACATGGTGTATAGTGTATACATCAGCCTCAGTTCAGTTCTAGCAGTAGCAACCAGAAACCATCATGTGTATTGTATATCCTCTGTAGCTAGATATAATATATACAAGTATATAAGATTAGTATAAAAGAGAATAATAATTAGATTTATGTTCGAAAGATAGATTAGAAATAATTAAGTTGAAAGGAGCATGAAATGTTTTTAAAAAACTTGTACTTGAAATGGGTTTTTATTGGAATAGGTTATTACAAGGATAGAATAGAGTTAGGGACAGCTAATTACAGAAGAACGGGCTATTATTAATGATTATATATAAAAAAAAACATAGATGGGGGAGGGGGGGGAATCGTATTTCCCCCCCCCTCATATGATTTGATTTTTACAGGCCAAAATTGTTATAGAACTGGAGGTTAAAATTGAGATTGAATTTGGTTTACATTGAGGTACCCCAGGGGAGGGGGGTGGGGGATTTTGTATAAATCAGTTGTTCTTAATCATGATCATAGAAAATATCACCTTCCCCCCCCCCTCACCCCCATTTCTTTAGTATGGATCAAGGTTATCAAGCAAGGAAATTTGCGTATACTCTGCGTACATATTGAAACCAGTTCTCTCTGGGCGGAATTTGTAAACAAGAACAGATGCATCAGTGTTCGTTTAGTATCCGAGGATTAAATTTTGATAATTTTGATAATTCACATAATAGTTTCCTATGACCAGAATATTTCATTGACTTTTTATGTGAAAGATGGAATCGATCCCATGTCAGACTTCGACATCCGTCTTGTGTTTGCATTACCGCCCAGAGACAGTACACTGAAGTACATAAAATGCGTACACCTCTGAAATAACTTTCCTTGCATTATAACCTTGTTAGGCATGAGAAAACGACAGATGAATAGGATTAAATATCTATATTTGTGGCAACAAGGAAAAGAACGGTAAAAACATCAAAATGGAAGAAATAATGGTTACAAACAAAAAACTACCAAATTTAATCCAATTATGCATTAATGTTTATTAAAACTTAATCAATAATAACTTACCATCAGTTTTGTATTTTAGAATTAATCGCCATTAAAAATAGCGTAATTGAGCTATATGCACGTTAATATTCAATCAAAAGTAAGGAACAGGAGATACGAAAAAACAACTAGATATTCGGAGAACATGGGTTACAAAGTGAAGACTCCCTGAGTGAGTGAATAATAAATGTGGACATCTGAAATACAGGTTCTAGATTCAAATATATATAAAAATAGGATAGAACGGGTTGAGATAACGAGAACACTAAAGAATTAGAATAAGAGTTAATAAGTTATGAAAGAAAGTATATAATATTTTCGAACAATGCCCAAAGGCAAGGCTCACATGGTGTCCCGATAGACAAGATAGAAAGTGATAGATTAAACGTTAGAGTAAATGATACACATAGATTCAGCCTGCTGGAAACAGTCTCATACATTTTAAGACAGCTGGTCGAGTTTGAAGTGTCACTAAGCTGGTCGAGTTTGAAGTGTCACTAAGCTGGTCGAGTTTTGAAGTGTCACTAAGCTGGTCGAGTTTGAAGTGTCACTAAGCTGGTCGAGTATGAAGTGTCACTAAGCTGGTCGAGTTTGAAGTGTCACTAAGCCTTGTGCTCTGATTTTACCGCTCTAAGTCGCATTTGCTTTTCTGTAGCCATTTGATTGTTAAGAAGTAATTTGCAAAACTTTCCTAGATTTTTTCATGAGAGCGTGAGGCCTTAAAATCACAATGGAAAGGACAAAAAAAAGAAATCAAAATAGAAGAGGACCCGGAATAAGAAAAAGTAAAAAGGACCAAATATGACTTAAGAGAAGGGAAAAAAGAATGGGAGGACAGAAAATAATTTGGATTGGTGTGGAAAGGACATTGATGTGAAGTACAAAATAAACATGCGTGATTTAAAAAAAATCTCAGTTTCAACTAAGATTATAACAAGGTAAGTGTTAAACTTTGCGAGAAAAATAAATCTTTCTAAAATTAAAAAAAAAAATTTAAAAGATTTTATTAGATCTGAAAAAGTTTAATGTGAGAATTTCTTGCCCTAGCATTTTTTTGTAATGCAGGGTAACCTACCAAGGATAAGACTTCAGAGACGACTTTACGAAATCAATTTTTATGTTTCCTTATATTCATAACTTCCTGCAACTTCTTTCTTTCTTTTCC